AAATAAGTTGTTGTGAATTGAATAATTGTAATATTTAATACAGTTGAACTTATAAAGTTATGTTAAGGTACTCCAGTGTATGGATTTGTGAACGGTACTGTGAAATGTAACGAGAAAATTGCAGAATTAACAGATATCACACGACCGTTACTGAGGGATTCAGTTGAGGCGGTCAATAAGGTTAATTCCTCGATTAGAGTTATTATTCAGTGGTTGTATTTGATGAATGTCGTATGATTATTTTGTTTCTTAGCGATTTTTTCGTTAATTTCTTTCATTGTATAATTTTTTAAATTTTTGAGACGCTTTATTGTATATCATTCGTAGTAATAATTTGTCATTCGCTAAGGTCCTAACTGATAGTGAATTGACAACATTTAAGGTGAAAATGTGGATACTGTTCTTGATCCCGAGAATCGAAGACGGTAACAATTTCGGTGTTTCAATTCAAGAGGAAGCTCTTAATGAGGTTTGTTGCATTGCACGTTGTTGAACGTATTATATATCAGTTATTTCGTTATGTTCGGGTTGGTAGTTTGCTTGTTTCAATCAGCGATAATTATTGTTGAGTGTTCAGTCANTTAATGTGATGGAAGCTGATGTTGAAATATTGAAGGTTCGAACGGTGGAGGGCGAAGCAGCATCGTTCTTGGATCAGATATCACGTTATTTCGTAAGCCGTGCGAGATTGATCACCAAAGTGGCTAAATATCCGCACGTGGTTGGTTCATTTTGTTTTATTTTGCTATGCATTGATCAATCATTGTTTGATTCATTTATAGATAAATTTATTGGCGATACATTTTGAATGTTTATTTTTATCCTTATTCTTCTTCTTATTATTATCATTATTGCTCACATTTTCGTGATCATCGTCATTATGTTTATGACATAACTAATTAGATAGGGATAGAATCGTTGGTGAATTCACACTCGATGATGTCAGTAATAGTAATAAGTCAGTTGATATCAAGCAAAATCGAGCGTTGCACCAGTGCCATATTTTTGAATCAATGAGACGTAACAGATAGTATTTCAGGAAGATTATCGCCGTGCCATATTGGATATGGATGAGAAGCAATTTATAAATATTCGTTTGGTACTGACCGAAATGCGGAATCATTTTGCGACACTTCATGATATGATCACGAAAAATTTAGAGAAAATTAAAACACCCCGAAATAATAACATTGAGCATATGTATTGATTTTTCTGCTCACTTGATTGCTGCTGGTTCGATGAGAAAAATATCCATTTTTATCACTGTTGACATTATTTTCGCAGTGAAAATATGCTTTTCGCAGTGAAAAATAGACATTTACAGTAGNTCCATTTTTATCACTGTTGACATTATTTTCGCAGTGAAAATATGCTTTTCGCAGTGAAAAATAGACATTTACAGTAGAAGTATTTGTGACATCATCTTACGGTTATTGAGCAATCAATTTAGGGAATGTGAAAAAATGTTCAAATTGGGAAATTGTGAGATTAGTCAATGTGAGAAGGGGTAATGAATGTTGTGATCATGTCATTGCGTGATGAAAGTTTTCATCGAAATCAACAACTGACGGTTTGATCGGTTTATTGAAACGAGTTTTTATTGATGTCATTCTTTGAATTTATCATCTTGTTGATGTGATATATGAGTTTGATAAAAATAATCGTTAATGGTGGGAAAGAAATGATCTGAGAAGAAAGTGATAACGGTAATGGTCATAAAACTGAAATTATAATATTAACGCTTTTTTTTGAAGAGAATGTAACTGTTTTTTAAATGATAGCGTAAACTCGTTCATTTAACGTAAAGTTGGTTGTTATGATAGTTAAGTTAGTAGTATTGACAGTGGTGATAAAATAGTGATAATG